GCACATACATATTTTTTAAACCAGAAGGCACATATAAAATATTCACAGAATCATTATTTATTATAGTCCAAAATTAGAAACAACCCAAACAAACAATAGTAGAATGAATAAACTGTAGTATATTCAAGCAATATTTATAGAAATGTTGCTGTACACAACAATATAGATGATTCTCACAAATATAATGTTGAAAGAAGCAAGATAAAATAGTAATGCTGTATGATGTAATTTATATAAAGTAAAAATATTTATTAAGTTAAAAATTGATAGTGTTAAAAGTCAGGATAGTGGTCATGCTTGTGGGGTGGGGATGACCGGGAGGGACATAAGGTCATGTGGGGGCTTTTGAGGTACGGTAGTATTATATAGCTTGACTAGAGGCCCGGTGCACAAAAATTTGTGCACTCGGGGGTAGGGGGTCCCTCAGCCCAGCCTGTGCCCTCTTGCAGTCTGGGACTCCTCGGGGGTGACCACTTGCTGGCTTAGGCCTGCTCCCTGGGGGATTGGGCCTAAGATGGCAATCAGATATCCCTCTGGCAGCCCGGCAGCCCTCGGGGGATGTCCATTTGCCAGCGGGGAGCAGACCTAAGCTGCAGTCAGACATCCTTAGCACTGCTGAGGAGGCAGGAAAGGCTCCCACCACCACTGCTGTACTGGCAGCCATCAGCCTGGCTTGTGGCTGAGCAGCACTCCCCCTGTGGGAGCACACTGACTACCAGAGGGCAGCTCCTGCATTGAGCGTCTGCCCCCTGGTGGTCAGTGTTTGTCATAGTGACCAGTCATTCCCAACCTTTCTGTTGTTAGGGTCAGTTTGCATATTACCCATTTACTATATAGGATTGAGGCCTGGTGCACGGGTGGGGGCCGGCTGGTTTGCCTTGAAGGGTGTCCCGGATTAGGGTGGGGGTCCCACTTGGGTGCCTGGCCAGCCTGGATGAGGGGATGATGGCTGTTTACAGCTGGTCACACCCCCTTCAGGGTGGGGGTCCCCACTGGGATGCCTGGCCAGCCTGGGTGAGGGGCTGAGGGCCGTTTTCAGGCTGGCGGGCGACTGAAGCTCCCAGCCTCTTTTTTATTCTTGGATTTATTTACCTTCTATAGCTGTCACTGGAGCTGAGAGCCGGCTCCAGCTCTGAGGCCGTTGCTGGCTGAAAGCAGGTATCTGGGTTTGTTTAGCTTCTATAATTGAAACTCTGTTACCATCACTGGCGCTCTAAGCTCTGAGGTCCCGGCTGGCTGAAAGCAGGTATCTGGGGTTTGTTTAGCTTCTATAATTGAAACATTGTTGCTTCCGGAGCTCAGAGCTGGGCTGCGGCAGGCGGGGAACCTTGGCTTCCTCCATCACTGGAGCAAGCAAGCCTCATGTTCGCTTCAGCTGCGTGGCTGCCGCCGCCATCTTTGTTGGCAGTTAATTTGCATATCCTGCTGATTAGCCAATGGGAAGCGTAGTGGAGGTATGGTTAATTACCATGTTTGTCTATTATTAGATAGGATATGGATGTTGGTTACATGAGTATTTCACTTTGTGAAAATTCAGTGGGCTATACAGTTATAAATTGGGCACTTTTCTGTTTGCATGTTATACTTTAAAGAAAAAAGTCTTTCAAACAATGCTAATGTCATCTTCTTTGTTGTTATTGTTGTCCCCACAGAAACTTTAGGGAATAAAAACAAATCCCATCCCCTGATCGCCCGCCCAGTCACCTCCCTCAGAGGGAGGTCGTGGGTGGCAGCATAGCGGCAGGGTGATTCAGGGAGGGGCCGGCCACTCGACATCCCCAGATTGGCCTGCCAGGGTTGCCTCCCACAGAGGGAGGCCACTGGTGACTGCGGCGGGGTGATTCGGGGCGGGGCTGGCCACTCGCTGTCCACAGATTGGCGCGCTGGTCACCTCCTGCAGAGGGAGGCCAGACTGCGGCTTAAGCCCACTTCCTGAATGTTGGACATCCCCTGAGGGCTCCCGGACTGTGAGAGGGCACAGGCCGGGCTGAAGGACCCCTTTGATTTCATGGATTTTCGTGCACCGAGCCTCTTGTATAATATAAAATGAGATTCTGCCGAAGCCCCACCAGGAGTCTTGAGGTATAATGAAGGATCCTCTACTCTATTTTTATTTCTTATAATCCCAATTGTTATGAATTAAAATAACTCTAATCCTATTTAATAATAGACAAACATGGTACTTGACCGTACCTTCGCTACGCCTCCCACGGGCTAATCAGCGCGATATGCAAATTAACCACCAACAAAGATGGCGGCTAATTTGCATACTGCAGGCAGGATGGGACAGTGCCATCCCGCCTGCCCTGCCGCCATCCGGGCCTGCTATCTGCGATCCTGGGCGGGGGGGGTGGGGGGGGGGTGGGGGGGGGTGTGGTGGTCCCGTGTGCGACCGGACCCAGGGCGACCGGGTGGGGCAGCAGCGATCCGCTGGCCCACCCGGGCATCCCATGTGCGACCCAGGGAGGGGCCCCAACCCCCGGATCCGCCCTGCCCTGTGCGCGACAGGGACGGCGCCCCAAACCGTGATCGGCCCTGGCCTGTGCGCGACCCGGGGAGGCGGGGCAGGCACCTAGGGCTCAGCCTGCCATCTGCCACCCAGGCAGGCACCTAGGGATCAGGCCTGCCATCTGCCACCCGGGGAGTGGGCCTAAGCCAGCAGGTGGTTATCTCCCAAGGGGTCCCAGACTGTGAGAGAGCACAAGTGGGGCTGAGGGACACCCTTCTCCCCCACCCACCCCCCACCCCCTACCCCCGCCAGTGCACAAATTTTTGTGCACCAGGCCTCTAGTCATAGAATAAAAGAGAAACGGACTTAGTCTAGGTAAGTGGTAAATGGTACTAGAAATATTAAGAATCCCAAATAAATATGATAAAAATAGTCATACTGTCTTTGTAAGTGTAGTTTTGTAATATAATCAGTAAAGCTTTTTAAAAAAAATTTAAAAAGAAAAAATCTGGTAAAACAAAGTTTCATACTTCAGTATTTTTAAATGGTAGGCTTACAAATATGTATAATATATACCACATTGGCAAAATCAAGCTCTTTGACCAATCAGCATTAAAAGCACTGTAATTGCTCAATATTTTAAAACACATTGCAATCAGAAAACATTTTTCTTTTATTTTACTTACTCAGTGTATTGTGGTCTGTGTGAATACCTTGTACAACAGATGTTCTGAGCAACAATTCCACATCAGAACCTATTTTTATTAGCTGTTAAGAAAACCAAACACAGAATAAATCCTTCAGGTGTTTTTCAATGGTTCATATGAATGTACTGTTTTTGAAAAGTGTAGGTTTACTACAAATTTTTTATGTAATAATCTGCCTTTAACTTTTTATAACCATTCTAAGTGTGCAGAAAGCTCAGACAGGCATATACTTTTAACTTTTATCCACCTGTTCATATTTTGATCCAAAACAGGTTTAGAGTATTTTTTTGTTGTACATATATATTTTACAATGTGTTTAAAACACATAGTTTTTTTGGGGTGGTGGTAGTGAATCTTTCTTTTATAGACTTGGATGTTCTGTACACTAGAAAGAGTGTTGGATTAGGAGTCAGAATACTTGGATTCCAATTCTGGTTCTGTCATTAAGTGTATGGCCTTGGTTTAATAACCTACTCTGAGTTTCAGACCTCATTATTTGCAAAATGAAGAAATGGACTAGAACAGCAATTCTCAACGCTGTGGACCCCTTGAGGCACCTTAACACCCTTTCAGAGGATCCATGATGTCAAATTTATTTTCATGATACTAGAGCCTAGACTAGTGGTCGGCAAACTGCGGCTCACGAGCCACATGCAGCTCTTTGGCCCCTTGAGTGTGGCTCTTCCACAAAATACCGACTTCTGCGCATGGGCCACGAAGTTTCAATCGCACTGTACGTGCGCGCCCGCACGTGGTATTTGGTGGAAGAGCCACACTCAAGGGGCCAAAGAGCCGCATGTGGCTCGCGAGCCGCAGTTTGCTGACCACTGGCCTAGACTCTTCTACACTGTTTGAGTTGTGAGAAGTAGAGTTTTCTCTATGAAATACCATTTGTACTTGAATGAACCACTGACAGGCAGACAAACTATGATTATTCAGACTTGGGTATTTGCTAGATTTTTTTCTTGAAAATGAGTGAAGTGAGGAGGGAAGTTATCAGAGGTCAGATGATATGGTCCTCATATGTCATGGGATGAGGAGTCATGGAGGTTGTGAGCAGAGGAAGGATAGAATATGCCTTTAAAAAAAAAAAGGTTGACTCTGCCTTTAAAAGTATTGAGACCAGGCTATAGGAATTTAGGGCAACAGAAGGAAGACCCAGGAGGAGGCTGTTGTAACAATTCAGTGAGAAATGATGGTAACTTGAACCTGGAGATAATGATGAGGAGGGTGAGAAGTGGTTGAATTCTAGGTATATTTTGAAGGTTAAGCCAATAGGATCTGCTGCCAGATTAAAGTGTGAGAGAAGGAAAGCAGTCAAGACAGCACAAAGGATATTGGTCTGAACATCAAGAGGAGGGAGCTGCCATTAATTGACATGAAAGCCTGTGGGTGATCAAAACCTCACAGCCGGACAGACTTGAGAAGCTTCTTAGCAAGGTAGACAAAGGGAAAAAAAGGGCCTCCTCCTTGGAGGTGCAGAAGCTGAGTGGAGTCCTAGGTCTAAGGTTGGGAACAAGGATAAATGAGGAGCAATGGATTAGAGGAGACCAAGAGGTGGTGTGTATGAATTCTAGAGCCAAAAAAAAAATTTTTTTTTTTAAATATCTAACTTCCATTGGACCAATAGGAATAGAGTTCCACATTGAAACTAACCTTTAAGGAAATTTATCTCTTGGTGATGTATAGTTTTAAAGAATATTCACAATTTTTGGAAAAGGCTATTATATACTCCTTTACCTTTCCAACTAACTGTGTGAGACTGAATTTTCTTCATATACTTCAACCTAAAAAACATGTTGAATGAGGAAGCAGATAGAATATAGCTGACTTCTATTAAGCCAGACATGAAAGAGATTTGAAAAATGTAAAGCATGCCATTCTTCTCACTAAATTATTTTGAAAATGTAGTATTTTTCATAAATAATGTATTTTTTAATATGTAATGGGTCTATTGTTTTTAAATGATTCAATCATATCTATTTTAAATTTTTCAGTTTTAAATCCTAATATAGTAAATACTGATAAGTATAACACATAAACAGCACTTTTTAGGGTACTCAATTTTTAAGAAGGTAAAGGGGTCTTGAGACCAAAAAGTTTGAAAACTGCTGGTATAGAGGATGCTTAAGTTTCCTTTTGGTGCCAAGTCTAACAAACCCTCTAATATATGACAATGTAATTATCCAAAAGCTACTAAATATTTAACATATGAAGAGTTGTAGAAAGTACCATATGTATTTATATATAACAAATATCTAATTTCTAGATTGCTTAATGTTAAATTAGTACTCTAAAAGTAAAATGAATTTGGGAGATTGTAGTTCATTTTCTCAGTTTAGTTGATATAAACAATTTAAAATGTAAAAAATTTTAGAAGTTTAAATCATGATTTAAAAATCTAGAAATTGCCAAATTGTTATCAGTTTACTAAATAACAAATAGGACAAACCTCCATATATACCTTTTAACTTCAATTCATAACTTGACTCTAATGTCATCTTAACTTCTACATGAATAAAAATTTCATAGTCCCTGTTTGCCCTAGCATATGCTTAAGGGAAATCTTTCCCTTTTTTGTTTATATTACAGGGATAGAAATTCTTAAGCTATTTCATTTTGTCTCGTTGGCTTATTATAGATATTTACTATTTCAAAAATACATTTTTCAAAATATAAATGATTTTCATAAAAAAAATTTAACATTCGGAAATTCTATTTAAACACAGAAGAATTTCTCTAATTTATGCTTTCCTTTTTATCAAACCAATTCTTGGAATCATAACTACCCCTGCAAATAGTTTTCCATTTTTCATTTTTTTCCTATGGGTCCATTCCCTATATTTATCCAAGGTCAGAAACAGGAATATTTAGGAAGCTCAAAACTGAGATAGTGTATATAAGCAGCATGATTTTATACAGGAAACAAATCATTGTGAATTTTTTCAATGAATATGCATTGGGAGTACCAGGGAGCTCATGGACTAATTTCAGTAGACTGTCTTAAACAATTGACTAAAATGCAAATATTAAAGGCAAACCAAGAATGTTCATGAACTGTGGCTGGTTAACTTCCATTGCCAAGACAGGAATTAAAAAAAAAAAAAATCTGTCTAGTTGAGCTAAATGAGTAGGTGTTTCCTCTATAGTTCTGAGTTACCACAGCACTCATTCTTTTCCGTTTCAGTCAGTTGCCTTAAGTGAAGATAGCACTTCTGTGGGTGTCTGAGTTGATTCAGCTGCTTTTGTTTTGACCAGGGCTACCATCCTTGTTCTTTTTACCAGGCAACTTGTTTTCTTATGGCTATAGGCAGATGACCCAGAGGAGGTGAGCCATACCAAACAAGGGCAGGTTATCTACAGTTGTTTTAACTATCGGGTTTTTATTTCACATAACCCCTCTATTTTCATCATTTCCTCTAGTTCAGCGGTTCTCAACCTGTGGGTCGAGACCCCTTTGGCGTTGAACGACCCTTTCACAGGGGTCGCCTAAGACCATCCTGCATATCAGATATTTACATTACGATTCATAACAGTAGCAACATTACAGTTATGAAGTAGCAACGAAAATAATGTTATGGTTGGGTCACAACATGAGGAACTGTATTTAAAGGGCCAGAAGGTTGAGAACCACTGCTCTAGTTGCTAATACAATTTACAAGCATTTTATTGTAAAATTGAAAAATTCAATTACTGTACCTCTTCTATTTTCTTAGAAGAAGCTTCATTTTTATTACTTTTGAATTCTTCATTTATTTTTACTCTGGCTGCTAAAGAAAGAAAAATACATAAAGTTATTTACTTTTCTAATTTATAATTCCTGCCCCAATAATTTACATGTTATTCATTATGAATGACTACTTCTCTAGTAGAGGAAATATATTTGCTCCATGTAAAACAAAGTATAAAAATCAGAAATTTATTAAAGAAGTCTCTTGGAGAGCTTATGACAGGCGGGCAAGTTTGTAATTAAATCTAATATAAACCTTCAGCACTCTAATACTTTTGTTTCCTGCTTTTCACTTCCAATTTCATTTGTGTACTTCTAGATATTAGAGTCAATAAATCCAATGTAATTCTTTGTTTCTATAAATCTAAGAATTTAAATTAAAATGTTTTTAAGATGGCAAAACTCAATACTTACAAACACAGTAACCCAGACCCACATACACAAATTAAAGTAAATATATAGCAGCTCTGAGCACCGTGGCTGACATGTAAAGTAAATGATAAATAAAACTTTTGTTCATGTACACCACTGAGACTTCAGCATCATTACAGCAGCATAATTCAGTTTAACCTGACAAACTGCCTTATTGTATTGCTGTAAGCTTTTAATGGAATGATCCATATAAAGTGCTTAGTAAACATACAATGTTACCTGTTCTTATAATTACTTCACTTAAAAACATTTAAAGCAACAAAAATATGCTATTTTGAGGGGAGAATAGTCATAAAACCTTCCTTTTATGCTTCAGAATTTCAATATGCAAGGTGGTTCAGAGTTTGGGCTTTGGAACCAGACTGCTTAGGCTGAATCCTAGCTCTACCTCTTGCTAAGTATAATGTGGGGCAAATTCTTTCACATTTTTTAGTTTCTTATCTTAACAGAAATCATACAGTAAAACCTCAATATAATGGACTAATTCGGGTGAGGCAGGGTGTCTGTTAAAGCTGACAGTCCATTTTATAATAAAACTGTGCACAAAATTCATGCACAGGTAGGGTCCCTAGATCTGGCTGGTGATCAGGGCCGATTGGGGCCTTCTGGCTGCCGGCTGGGGCCTTCCTTTGTTCTGTGCCGCCTCCTGGTGGTCAGTGCATGACATAGTGAGTGATCGAACTCCCGGTCTCCTGGTTGAACTCCCGAGGGGACACTATGCATATTAGCCTTTTATATATATAGTAGACAGGTTTTCCAAATGTGTATGTTAAAAAATTGACAAATGTAGATACATTTGTGTAATTAAAATTATGTATGAAAGTTTAATTTCACAGAAAACTTTTCTATATGTATGACTGTAATTTTAAATTTATACTAAATAGGTCTAGTAAATGTGTGCATTCACCAGTCACTGTGAATAAACATATGCACACGTCTGGGGCAGGCATGGCTTAGCTCATGTCGGAAGATGGGTGACACACGTTAAAACTGCTGCAGAAAGTCATGCCATGCAACAATAGAACCAATTACCCCGTGGGATGTTACAAAGGAAAAACAAACAAAAACTTAACTTCTAATGCTTTGGTATCTGTGATCAAATGCTAATCATTTGCTGAACATTGTTTACAAGCAGTCACTCTTGGATTTAAATATGCAGACTATGGTTGTAGATATGTAACATTTATTTATGTTGGTGAAATTACTAGTATTTTTCAAACATATGGCCTATTCACTAAAATTTGTTAAAAATAAATTTTTTAATAAAAAATAAACAAAATAACAAATTTATCATTTTAATTATAAACAAATCTTGGTTTAAAGCATTTTAAAATTAATAGGGTGTTAATTTCACATGAAATACAGGCTAGAAATTTTTCCATTAAATCCTAATTCTGTTAAATCAATCTCCACAAAATCAAGGGTTTACTGTAATAGCAACTATATCACAGGGTTGTTATAGTAATTAAATGAGGAATTTGTGTAAAGTACAATATAAGGCATATATTTTAATATTCAAGAATTCTTTTTGGTGAATTACAAAAACTAGAATTTCCTGGGACAGTGGAGACACTTAACCTAGGTAAAGAGGTTTAGAAACGTATGAGGATTGGAAGTGAACATGACCAACACAGAACCAGGTAAGATAGAAATCACTTAAAACAGTGAAATGCTAAACGTGGAATTGCTTGGAATAGATTCTCTTTCTTAGGTGCTGTCACTTCTAGAATGACACAAGGCATTAACAATATGGTAGTATCTAGTCCTAGAGTGTGTGAAATTGTGATAATAAAATAGAGAAAGGACTTTAATTATCTTTAAGTGTATACTCCTCAAAAAAGTGTAATTGTAAACTAATCTTTATAACACATAACAACATTAGGGAAGAGGTAGTGAAGGCCATTCCCTAAGATGAGGCTTGACCAAACAGGGTCTCTTGGATATATGAGCAGCCATCTGAAGAATAGACTTGTTCCAAAGGAAAATTAGTAAGCTTACCTTCTAATGCTCTGGTATCATTTTTAAAAACTTGTTGTCTGGTCCTGTGCAATCTTTTAAAGAGCTGTAAAACCTATCAAGAAAATCAGAACTCAGACAGCAAAAGAAAAAAAAAATCACATTTTACATAATTACAAGATTTAAATAGTAATTCTGTTCTGTTCGTTTCATAGACTATTTTTCAAAGTAGCTGATGAAAACCAGGGTTTCTGGAAATACCTTTACATTGATTATTTATCTTTAAATTAAAAAACTTTATTTACAAAAATAATACAAAGGTCTTTGAAACAAAACAATATAAAGATAGTTAAAAAGTTAGTAATTCCCCTGCAAAACCAGTCTGCCAAGGTAAACAACTTTACCAGTCTGGTATGTATTATCATTTTTCTTAAGATATGGAGGCCTTCTTCTGTTCTTAAAGTGAGGCACATACTAGTATACACAAACTCGTGAACTTATTAAATCTTAAGAGAGCTCAGAAGGAAGATGTTTCGGGTAATTCAGGCAAGTTCAATTGTGATTTCTCAAAAAATAAGTAGAATGCTGACACTTTTGATTTTTACAAGAGCATGTTAAAAAATGGAGAGAAAAGAGCCTGGCACTTTGGTAGGAGTCAGATTGTGAGGAGGATTTAGCGATAGACTGAGGCCACCTCGCACTTCTTTAAAAAAACACACAAACTAGTCCCGAAAGGCGGAGCCTAGCCTGGGAGAGCCCAGCTGAGCCCAAACCCCAACAGCTGTAGCCAGTCCCGACTGGGGAGCCTAGCCCTAAAAAACCCAACCCCGAACAGCCAAACCCTGTCTGGAGGGCGGAACCTCGCCCCAAAGAGCCCAGCCCCTAAGCAATACCTGTTCTTCCCGCAGGCCCAAGGCACCCAGCCTGTGTGTCAGTGATTTCCACAGGCACCTCTCCTTGAGAGTCAGCAGCCCTTTCAACCTCTGGCTCCTAGGCCAGGATGCTCCCTTTGGGTCCTTTCCTGTAAGGCACTCTTGTGGAGACCGGGGCTTCCCCAAGGCCCGGATCAATATGATTGTCATGGCCCTAGCCCGGACTAGCCCAGCCAAGGCCTAAGAGGCGAATCTAGTTCCAAAGGGCTGACACTAGTTCCGAAGTGCCGAGCCTAGACTCTAAGACCCAACCTAGTCCCGAATAGCCAGTCAGTACTGAAGGGCGGAACCTAGCCAAAAGCCACCTCATACTTCTCAAGTCCAAAAGGATACTCAATGTTATTCCCCCAATACTGCTTTTTCTCCTGTCTTCTCAATTTCAGTAATGGAAGACACAGTCTTTCTCAAGCCAGAAATTTTAAAATCATCTCTAAATCTACCTTACTCTTCATGTGGGAACTTTAGGATGTCTAATTTTTGAAAATTTGATTAATTTTCTGATAAATAGCCCCAAACTATTTAAGTTCAGTTATCCCCATCCGTTTCTTTAAAAATATATATATTTTATTGATTTTTTACAGAGAGGAAGGGAGAGGGATAGAGAGAAACATCGATGAGAGAGAAACACCGATCAGCTGCCTCCTGCACGCCCCCTACTGGGGATGTGTCCGCAACCCAGGTACATGCCCTTGACTGGAATCGAACCTGGGACCTTTCAGTCCGCAAGCTGACGCTCTATCCACTGAGCCAAACCGGTTAGGGCCCCATCCGTTTCTTAGACTACTTAAAAAGATTTGTTACTCTGTCACCCTTCCTCCTTTTCTCCAGTCCATTCACCAGACAATATCTAACATTTATTGAGTATATCATGTGTGCTAGGTACTGTTTTAAATATTTTATATATTTTTAAAACCTATAACTTCAAAGGCATACAGCAAAACAGAAACAGGAAACAAGGAGCAGAAAACATAAAGACAACTACACTTAACTCCCAAGTTATTGCAAACATGCAATCAAAACAAAAACCTGGGTTGCGGGCACATCCCCAGTGGGAGATGTGCAGGAGGCAGCTGGTCGATGTTTCTCTCTCATCGATGTTTCTAACTCTCTATCTCTCTCCCTTCCTCTCTGTAAAAAATCAATAAAATATATTTAAAAAAAAAAAAAAAAAGGAGCCTTTAGGCCCTGGCTGGGTGGCTCAGTGGGTTGAAGCATTGTCCTGCACACCAGAAAGCTTCAGGTTCTATTTCCCGATGGAGCAGATGTTTGGTTTTGGATTTGATCCCTGGTCAGGGAGAGTGTGGGAGGCAGCCCGATTGATGTCTATCTTTCACGTTGACGTTTCTCTCTTTCTCTCCTCCCTCTCTAAAAAATCAGTAAACATATCCTCAGATGAGGATTTTTTAAAAAGGAATGTTCAGTAACTCCCAAAAGCTTATGGATATCAAATTAGTAAAAGCAGAGATTAAGTTGACAAATAAAAATTGAGGAGAGAAAAGATAATTAAGGGAGTGATCTAGATGGCTCCAACAACAGAGAACAGAGAAAACAGAAATTAAAAGGGAGAATAAATTAAGGAAATTTCACCAAGTAAGGTGCTTGAGTTACTAGATTGAAAGGGCTCCACCAAGTGCCCAACACAAAACCCATACTATGGCTCATGATGTAAGTTCAGCACAATGCTAATAAAAAGAAAAATCTGAGAGAAAAAAACAGTTCACATACACTGGTATGTGATCAGAATGGCACCTGACTTCTCAGATCAGTGTGAGAAGACAATAGTATATTATATTCAAGTTTTGAGAAAAAAAAAATCCAGCTTAGAAGACCAGACACAGCCAAATTATCATTTAAAACAAGGGCAAAGAGACATTTTTTAGAAATGCAAAGTCTCATAATGCCATACACCTTTTCTTGGAACACTACATGTGTTCCACCAAAACAAGGGATGAACCACTAAAGAAAAAAGCATGGGAATCAGAAAGACAGGTGATCCAACACAGGAGAGGCAGAGATAACGGTAAAGGACAAATATAGGTCAGCATTTGTGCAACCAGCTGAGAAAGCAACTAGTCTGGACTACAGAAAAGGCTGAACTGATCCAGAAAAGACGTTACTAGAGAAAAAAATAAAACTGGTAGACTTTAGTTTTGTTCAGAGTTTGGGAACAGATATGCAGGAAACTAGCCAATGATAAAAACAATGAAATTAGTTAATTTCAAGAAATAGAAGAATTATAAATTAAAGACAATGTAATCATATAGTTATATTAGAGATCTCAGCTGTGGATAAATTTTATATAGTCAAATAATTACAGAGACAAAAACTGATTCACCAAAATGTGTATATTGTGAAGAATAGGGTGTAAGGGGAAGCTTAGTCCTCAACCTCCAATGTTAAAAGTCAAAAAGTAGTATCTCCAAAGAGAAAATAAATAGTAGTTTAAGCATGTTTAGAAACATGAAGGTAAATATCAGAAGGAATAGCTAAAATGATTAAAAGCTCTTATCTCTGGAGAGCAGGAATTAGGAGTATGTAGAAGGAAGTAGATACCTACCGGCATTTGTGTAACATTATTTCTTTCTTTTTAATTCATCTGTATTTGTCACAAGCTTTTTTAAAGCAGAATGTGACTTGAGCACTACATTTTCATTCACAAAACTTGCTCTGAGTTACTTTCAAATGGCTTTATAACATGCCTAGGTGAGCTTATAATTTTGCTACTCTAAATAATACTTTTATTTGGAAAACAAGCTCTATGGATAGTTACTCCCATCAGATTGGTTCAGCTTAGTATACTAATTTCTAGAGGCCATACATGCAGTTGATAAATACAGGGGATAGAAGGTTTAAGAAGTAGACCCTAGGGAATGAAAGTTGTTTTAGCCATGTTTATCTCAAAACATTTCAGTGACAAAGGAATCCACTTGAAAGCTAAACACTTTAGAGTTAGACCACAACGTTAACAAACATTAGGTTACACACATCTCACAACAAACATAACCTCATTTTGTTAAAATAAGCCAACATGAAACTAGAAGAGAAAAACTAGCTCTGCTTAGAACCAACATCTTTGATTTCAGGTTTGTCACTGGACTTCTTTTCTTCTTTTTAAAAATATATTTTTATTTATTTTAGAGAGGAAAGGAGAGGGAGAGATAGAAACATCAACAATGAGAGAGAACCACCTATCAGCCACCTCCTGCACGCCCCCCTGTAGATTTTGAGCCCGCAACCACAACCGGGGCCTGTGCCCTGATGCAGAATTGAACCATGATCTCCTGGTTCATAAGCCAAGGCTCAACCACTGAGCCACACCGGCTGGGCTCTTCTTTTTTTTTTTAATCTTCCTCTTTCTCTTCCTTTTCTTCAGCCTCATCATCACTGACTTCTTTATCACGTTCTTCTCCACAAAAAAGTAAGGGAGTAGCCAATAAATTGAGAGTGTTTTTTCACAATCTCCTTTATCTTTCTCTCCTCCAAGTACTTGGTCTGGTCTTCTTTTAAATTCAGGATGACCTCTGTTTACCTGTGTCAGTCCTAACTGTGAACAATCCTACTGGGGAAGACTCCCAGGCATACTGCTCATCATTGTTATATTTGGTGATTATGGGCACTTTTTCAGGAACCAAATAGGCTAATTACAACCTGACACCATAATGGCCAATCACAGAGATATCTGCACCAGCCTGCAAAGCTTCCATTAATGCTTTGGTCCCAGACTTGGAAATAGTACCAAGATGATTGATCAAATCAGCCTTGGCCATTCAATTCCAGTATTCATAATAGTGAGAGCTTGGTCATAATTTGTTTGGAATGAGGTTAATGTGCAGCTCTTTCCCAGAGTCCAGTTTACTGGGATCTGTCAAGCTTTCACAGCTGATCTTGTCCAGTGGATCTGATGAAACTGAAATAAATTCCCTCAGAAATATCTCTTTATTCAAGTAGAAAATATTGATGATCAGTGACATCAACTGAGCAACTTCTATCTGAAAGGCAAACATCTCAACCTCTTCCTCCTCCATCGGTTGGTTGTGAGTCTGGGTTTCCTCAGGCATCTCAGCGAAGGGACCACATGGGCTCCAAAATAATGCAGCACCAGGACGCAGAACCAACTAGCCAACTATTTCTTAATCTTTACACATTTATCACCTTTATAAAAACTAAAAATTTTATTTTAAAGTGAGAAAGGGAAAGGATACTATCAAAAAAGAGAAAAGACATCCCACAGAATGGGAGAAAATATTTGCAAATCTTATATCTGATAAAGGGCCAGTTATCTAGAACATATAAAGAACAACTCAATAATAAAACATTTTTTTAAATAGGCAAAGGAAGACAAACAAATGGCTATTAAGGCCAAAGAAAAATGTTCAACATAATTTGCCATTTGGGAAATACAAATTTAAATTTCAAACAGACTGTCAAATTACCAGCAGGAATGTCAAATTACCAGCAGGAAGGCTGGGGAGGGGTTGTGGGGGGGAGGTAAGAGATCAACCAAAGGACTTGTATGTATGCATATAAGCATAACCAATGGACGCAAGACACTGGGGGGGGGGGTGGTGAGGGCATGTGCCATGGGGTAGGGGAGGCTGGGGGAAGGTCATTGGGGGGAAAAATGGGGCATATGTACTACTATTTGTAATACTTTTAACAATAAAATAAAATTTAAAAAAAATTTAAATCTCAGTGATACTACTTCACTCCAGTAGAAGGGCTACAGTAAAAAAAGATAGTAAAAAACAAATGTTGACAAGAATGTGGAACTATTGGGATGTATACATTGTTGGTGGGAATGTAAAATGGTGCAGCCACTTTGGAAATGTTTGGCAGTTGCTCAAAAATTAAACATAGAGTTATCATATGACCCGGCTTGGATATATACTCAATAAATATAAAAACATGTATTCACACAAAACTTATACATGAACCTCCATAGTATCTATTCATAATAGTGTCAAAAAGTAACCACCCAAATGTTCAACTCATAAATGGGTAAATAAAATGTGATCTATCCCCAAGACATATTGAAGTCCTAATCCCTAGCACCTGCAAATGTGACCGTATTTGGAAACTAGATGCCCGGTGCATGAAATTCGTGCACTCAGGGGAGGCAGGTCCCTCAGCCCGGCCTGTGCCCTCTTGCAGTCCGGGAGCCCTTGGGGGATGTCTAACTGCCGCAGAGGCAGGAGAGGCTCCCGCCACCGCTGCTGTGGTCAGTGCTTGTTATAGCAACCAGTTGTTCTGCTGTTCGGTCGATTTGCATATTAGCCTTTTATTATATAGGATGGGGTCTTTGTAGATGGACCTAAGTTGAGGTCATCATTACTGCCTTGGGACTATCAGAGCTACTATCACCTTGGAGTTAATAAACTTTTATTAAAAAGCAGAAAGCTAAGTCACATATTGTCTTCTCTTCCCCATTTACTTACTCTGATTGGACAAATTTAGGCAGTGTATATAGAAATGTATTCTTCACAGATCAGTTTGAATCTGACATTGCCACTTATTATAAGCTTGGACAAGTTACTCAGACTTTTTGCCTCAGTTTTGTTGTTTTTTTAATAATGAGGTAATTTTAAGGGTGTATGGTATAATTTCTGTACTAGGTTTCACTGTAGTCATTATTTATCTATTCCTTCTAAGTCTGGGTTATATGCCGCTCCTGAGTACATCCCAGCATTGGGCACTTACTACACTGTATGTTAAAGGCTCACTTGTTGTACCATACTTCTTCAAAGGCTTCTTGGTTACCTTTGTATCCTCCGCACTTGGCAAGGGTGTCTTCTGTATATTATAGGCCTGGCTAAAAGTGTTTTTGGAATGAATCCTTTCATTTGTATTCAAGTTTTCCAAGCAATTTTCCATTTCAAGAACTTTCCATATGCTACTTCCTCTTTCTGGAATGTTCTTTTTCTCTTTTCTCCTAGCTATTTCTAGTTAAACTTCACGTCTCAACCTAACTTAAACTTCTATGAAGTATTGTTTTGCATCCTTCCAGATAGGTTAAAGCCCAATTATATGCACACAAAATACACTGTATTTTCAGCTCAAAGCACTTAATACAATTCTAATTAAGTAATTGTTAAAAATCTCTGACCTGCTAGACTTCTGTATGAAGGCAAAGGTGGTTTGTTTATTGTTGCACCCACTATGCCTAAATAGCATAGGCATAGTGGGTCTTCTTTGGTATTACTAATAGCTATTATGGAAACTCAATAAAATTTTAAAATGAATAACCCTTTACAATCGTTTCTACTGGTGCTGTTACAATCGTTTCTACTGGTGCTGTGATATATATTAAACCGTAGTGAGAACACCAAGTTATTGACCATAGCATTGCTTTTCCTCACTTTATTGTAGCAGGCCATTTCCCCCTTTTCCTCACTTTATTGTAGCAGGCCATTTCCCCCTCCCAATGCCTGTGCTTCCGCCAGTGACAGGGACAGGTCTAACCTGCCATGCTGCTATTGGAGGTTAGGATGGCTACTGGCTGAAATTGTGCACCGGCCAGGAACGTGTAACAGTGGCGAGAAATGAGCCTGAAACCATGTGACCCCGGCAGGACCACCCCTTCCCAAGCTCATTCAGAGAACCGGGGTCTCTGCTCTGTGTCGCGAAGAGCTACCTGTGGTAAGTGAATGTGCTGATTTCCGTGGTTCCTAGACTTCTGTGTGCCTTCCAATTGCGTGACTACACCTTTCACCTCACCGGGCGGTTGGGGCGCAGGCTGCCGTTAGCGTCCCCTGCACTTCCCACGGCTGGGAAACGGGTCCCTCCGACAAATACTCAGCTACTCAGTGGAGAGATGAAACGCGGGCAGAGCTCAAGTCTCGCATTACTGAACACCCTCGGTACCAGAGCCGATTAAGAACTAGGAACCACTGGTGCCCCCCTCCCTCTTCCACACCTGCACAACCGTTCTCCTCAGGGGCGAAGGCCACATCCTCCGTGGAGGGCCTGAACCCGTTACAGAACTCCATACAACTTTCGTCAGGCTGCGCTCTTAACCCCCCCTATCCCACGCTCTCCCCAGTCGGCATCGCACCCAACACCTCCCCAGGCCCTGTCACCTTGGCCGCCTGACCCATGTTTCTCCCACAGCGGCAGCTACCTCTTCAGCAGTCTAGTCGCCCCGCCTCTCGGCAATCAATAACGTCCAGGCGTGCGCAGGCCAACTTCCTAATGCGCTGCAACCAATCACCAGGCAGCATCTCTTCGTAGCCCCGCCTTCCAAGGAGAGCGGGGAGGGAGTAGTTTGCTGAACCGGTGACGTCTGGTAAACCCGCGAGAAGCCGCCGAGGCCAATTGCTGTAACCATAGAGAGGAGAACGGAAACCACCTGGACGCCATGTTAGTTAGGGGCAGAGCCACTTCCGGTTACTTCTGCTGCAACCCTCTGGTGGCGGAGAGTGGATTGACATTTAAGAGATGACTTCGGTACCAACATACCATACTGTTCGCTACCTCCGGTTTCGGGACTGAGTTTATTTATTAAAGAACTCGTTCTCTCTCTTTTTTTTACGTCTTCCAGTTGCGTCTGTTCTTGCAAAAGTGCATAAATAAGAGCGAAGTCATAACAACTGTAGCGAACAGACATTGATTGGAACGCTGACTCCCAAAAGTGCTATGCATGTATTATTCTCTCATTTAATTTCCCCAGAAGGTTCCGCTGTTACTTGCTTAAGACCTTAGGGCTAGTAGATGGAGGTCGGGGATACAAATCTCTATGCCTAACTTGAAAGCTTAGTTTTACCCTCTACATATTCAGCCTGCTCAATTTGCCTTACTCCTTGTTTTTGCTAGTCAAGAGGTCAGAAATGGTTTATTAGCAGCATCACGATCATAAACAATCATAAAGCATTTATTTAAATACATTTTAATTTATGATCTTGCAAGCATCAGGAAAAATCCCAACTTTGTTCCCATTGCATAATCATTGCCTTTTGTACCCCCACAGCCTTTCAGGTTAACTTCTAGGTAAAACTGACTTTTTATTAGAAATGAAAAGGTTTTGAGCAATGGGTCTCCAACACCCTTTTCCTTCTCTGTAATTTGTCATTTGAAATTCATCATGGAAATAGCAATTATCCACTTCGCTTTTTTTTAAATTAAAAATTTGTCAATTACGATTGACATTCAATATTATTTTGTATTAGTTTCATGTGTACAGCATAGTGGTTAGACACTTAACATAATTTACCAAGTGGTCTCCCTGGTAAGGCTAGTACCCAGGTGGCACCATACACAGTTATACAATATTATTGATTATACTAGAGGCCCAATGCACGAAATTCGTGCAAGAGTAGGCATTCCTTCCCTGGCTGCCGGCACTGGCTTCCCTCTGGCCGCCTGCAGGCACCCAGGACCTGGGCTTCCCTCCAACCCTGGCTTCTTCCAGAAGGACGTCCAGTCTAATTAGCATATTACCCTTTTATTATTATAGATTTCCTAGGCTGTATTTTACATCCCCATGATATTTTTTAGTTGACTTTGCTTTAGCAATTAAACCAAATATACAGGTACTTTCTTTTATCCAGGAAACAATAAATTAGATTATCTTGTGACATTGCATTGTAGAGTCTTCTGATTGCTAATGATTAAAAAATGTTTATTTTCATTTCCAGATTAAGATTATGGCCCAATTTCCTGAAAGTTTATAATTTATTGTCACAATTTCTGGCTAACTGGGGTCCTGTATTCAGTTAACCCAAACCCCTCATCAGCCAATGTTTGAAAATACATTGTTCCCATAGTGCCCAAATCAGTTCAGTCCTGAAGCTTCTTTTTTCTTAGATAAACCTCTCTGGTTCCTTCAATTTTTTCATAAATGGGGTGACTGTTCTGGTTGTTCTGGGAATATGTCCTGATTGGTGTGGGACCCAGAACTGAACAGGACATTCCAACATATTCATCATTCATGTAAGTTCATGGCGCTATGTGGTAGGCAGAATAATGGCGTACATAATTCTAGGAACTTCTGAATATATTCCTTACATGACAAAAGGGACTTTGCAGGAATGATTACATTATGGATTTTGAGATGGGATGATTATCCTGGATTGTCTGGTGGGCCCAAGATATAAGGGGGAGAAGGAAGCAGAGTTAGGGAGAGGTTTGAAAGAGGAAAATGCTCTGCTTCTGGCTTTGAAGACAGAGGAAGGGGCCACAAACCAAGGAATGCAGGTGGCCTCTAGAAGCTGGACAAGGTAAGGAAACTATTCTCCCCTAGATCCTCTAGAACAGCGGTTCTCAACCTGTGGGTCGCCAACCTGCGGGTCGAGACCCCTTTGGTGGTTGAACGACCCTTTCACAGAGTCGCCTAAGACCATCGGAAAACATCCTAACTGGTTTGGCTCAGTGGATAGAGCGTCGGCCTGCGGACTGAAAGGTCCCAGGTTTGATTCCAGTCAAGGGTATGTACCTTGGTTTGCGGGCACATCCCCAGTAGGAGGTGTGCAGGAGGCAGCTGATTGATGTTTCTAACTCTCTATCCCTCTCTCTTCCTCTCTGTAAAAAATCAATACAATATATTTTTTTAAAAAAGACCATCGGAAAACACATATATAATTACATATTGTTTTTGTGATTAATCACTATGCTTTAATTATGTTAAATTTGTAACAATGAAAATACAAGCCTGCATATCAGATATTTACATTACAATTCATAACAGTAGCAAAATTACAGTTATGAAGTAGCAATGAAAATAATTTTATGGTTGGGGGTCACCACAACATGAGGAACTGTATTAAAGGGTCGCGGATTAGGAAGGTTGAGAACCACTGCTCTAGAAGGAATGCAGCTCTATTGACATCATAATTTTAGCTCAGTGAAACCCAATTTGGGTTTCTGACTTCCAAGAAGCCATCTGCTTGTGGCCTTTTCCATCTTCAAAGCCAATAGTACAGCACCTTCAATCTTAGCCTCACCCTGCTTCCATGATCATATCTCCTTCTCTGACTCTCACTCGCCTATGTTCCTCTTTCACTTATAAGAGCCCCTGCGATTATATTGGCTCCATCTGAAAAAAATCCAGGAATCTCCTTACTTCAAGATCCTTAACTTAATTACACAAGCAAAACCCCTTTACCATGTAAAGTAAGATACTCATAGGCTCCTGAGATTAGGACATGGCCATCTATATGATAGTAGCTTGGATTAGGGTGGTGGAGTAGAGGTGAGAAATGATTACACTCATGAAATGTGCTGAAAGTACAGACAGAAGAGTTAAGGGTGATTTCAAGGCTTTTAGCTTGAGCAATTCCATGAATGGTATTACAGTAGATACGGAATTCTGCAGGAGGGGCTTTTTGTTCGATTGTTTATTGTGACACGAACAATTGAAAGCAGAAATAAATTTGAAGTGCCTAATAGACATCCAAATGGAGGTGGTCAGTGGGCAGTAATATATACCATAGACCAAATTGGAATTAAGGGAAGAAATAGGTTAGATGATAAATACTGGAGAGTCATTAAGTGTCAGCCCTCAGACTTAATGAAAGGTGACCATATCATTTATTATCTAAACCAGTACATATTTTTCTTTTTACCTTTTGACAATTTCAGACTTACAGAAAATTTGCAATAATAGAATTTGCATATACCTTTCACTCAGATTCCCCAAATGTTAATATTTTACCACAATTGCTTTATTTTTTTAAATCTATATATGGATGTGGGTTTTTAAAAAATCTCTTTCATGCAAACATGAAACCCCTATACTCCTAAATATTTTAGTGGGTTGTTTCCTATAAAAAAAGCCACTCTCTTACATCAGTGGTTCTCAAAGCATGGTTTCAGGCCCAGCAGCAACTGCATCACTGGGAAACATTTTAGAAACCTAAGTTATAGAGCCCCAGCATATATCAACTGATTTTGATAATTTTGCTGTGGATATGTGAAGAAATTAGCATGATTTTCAAAACTATTATATAATTTACAGGCCTTATTTAGATTTTACCAATTGCCCTATTGATTTTGACAGCAAAAATAACAAATGGGGAACTGTTGATATGAAAGGGGGCCGCTATCAGTCATTCTGCCAAGACAGAGTGGTAAAATACAATAATTTAGGGTCGTCCGGGAGGTGTAGTTAATTCTTCTTAATAAGGACACTTGGAGACTGCTAGCTAGAGAAGAGGGCCAAGAACAGAGTGCACGAGAGGCTGGAACAGAAGGCTCCCTGTGAAGGAGAAACAGCACCCAGAGAGGGTGGGGAGAGGTAATGGCCAACAGTGGCCATGACGCCAAGAGGTCCAGTATGATAACTGGAATTACCTATAGGATTTTGTAAGCAGCGGTCCTCAATGATTTTAACAAGAGGGAAATGGGCTCCAAAAAGATGAGAAATATATAAATATATCTTAAAAAGGAGCAAAAATGCGGAGGAGGATGTGGGGTTAGGGCAGGTTTAGGTACTCTAAGGGGGGCATTTGACATCAAGTGGGTGACTGCTGGGAAGAAGTCTTTGTACATCAGGGTGGGGAGGCTTACCTACCGCCGATGCCTGGGTCTTACCCCAGAGTCTGGTTGAGTTATCTGGGTTGCAGCCAGGTTTTTGTTAAAAGCCCTCCAAGTGATTTTAACGCGCAGTTCAGGTTGAGAATCACTGTTAGAGGGAGAAAAATAAAAATGATGCAAGGAGGGCTTATGTCCTGGAGCCAAGACCTCCCGTAGCTGAGACATGAAAGGGCCACGGGGCCTCACCCCGCAAACACTGCCTGGATTAGCGGATCTTCCCAGGCACAGCCTCCAGTGTTCCCCGCAAGGGTCCTTAAAGCCAGCGAGAGCCGGCTGACACTAGCAACTCCGCTCCTGAGAGACAAGAAAAGAATAAAGAAGCCCTGACCGGTTTGGCTCAGCGGATAGACTCCGAGTCTCGGCCTTTGGACTCAAGGGTCCCAGGTTCCATTCCGGTCAAGGGCATGCACCTTGGTTGCGGGCACATCCCCAGTGCGGGGTGTGCAGGAGGCAGCTGATTGATGTTTCTCTCTCATCGATGTTTCTAACTCTATATCTCTCTCCCTCTCCCTTCCTCTCTGTAAAAAGTCCATAAAAATATATCAAAAAATTAATTAATTAATTTTAAAAAAAGAATAAAGAAAACGGTCTCCCCCGGCTCCTGAAGCCCCGGATCGAGGCTGGGTCTCGGGCCGCTCCGCTCCCGCTCCCACGCGCCCGCCGCGCAGGTCGCCTGTGCGCAGGCGCAGAACCAGCTCGGCCGCCGAGCAGCGGTCCCAGCGCAGCCCGGCCGCGCGCTCCCGCCGTCGGCCCGCTCCCAGCTCCTCCCTCCGCCCGCGCTGCGCCCCCGGTCGCCTTGCGGAAGCGAGGCCACGATGGCAGATGAGATCGCCAAGGCTCAGGCCGCTCGGCCTGGTGGCGACACGATCTTCGGGAAGATCATTCGCAAGGAAATCCCCGCCAAAATCATTTTTGAGGACGACCAGGTAGGCACCGGGCGCCGCCTCGCTCGTGGGCGCGCCGGTTTCCCCGGGGGGAAGAGAAGGGTCGGCGGCGCCGCGGGAAAGAGAAGGAACCGGACCGGCCGCTCGGCGCGGCCTCTGCCGCGGGCCCCCAGCCAGCGGCCTGCCGGCGCGTGCGGGCGCTCCGGTTACGCGTTATCTGCCCGGGCGCGGGCCGGGCCGCCTGGCGCCCGCGGGGCCCGCTTGGCGGGGTGGGTCCCGGCGCACGTGAAGGACGCGCCGGGTCCTCGGCGTGGGCGCCGCCCGCTCCCCGGCCGCCTCGGACCTCGCCCGTGTCAGGAATCTCACAATCTCGCCCGCGCTCTGCCGGGCAGGGAGAAACCCGATCGCGCCCCGACGCGGCCCAATCTCCGCGATCTCCCGCCCGGCCATCCCCGGGCCGCGTGGCGCTGGCGGCGGCGGGAGGACACGCGTCCGGCGGGCGGGGGGCGGCGGGGGGCGCGCGGAGCCGGTTCCCCCCGACCCCCTCCTGCCGCGGCCCGGGAACAACCAAGGGGGCTGCTGCGGGCATTTGCTTTCCTTTGGCGCCTCCCGGAAGCAATTTATGCCGAGAGACTGCGAATGTCGTTCTTGTTGCCTTCACCGTCGGTGACATTCGGTTTAGGAAGGCCGACTCCGCGTGGCTCCCAGGCGTCCTGTGTAAAATAGTCCGTGGGCCGTTCTTATGGGTTTGGGTCTCAGATAAAGCTTGGCAGGAGGTTGGCTGATTTACAGGGAAAACATTCTGTAAACTTGGTTAACTTAAGAAATATGGATTCCAAGAGAAGCATCCATTTTATGCTACTAGGAGTGTTCTTAGATTCAAAATGTTAGCTAAGATTTAGATTCCTCACAGTGAACTTTATTTAAATACCTTTATTTGTCACTAGTTAGGGAAATTCTTTTGTTTTGGAGGGTGCACATTTCTTTAAAAGAAATATATGTGTGTATTGATTGATTTCAGAGGAAGGGAGAGGGAGAGATGGAAACGTCAGCGACGAGAGAGAACCTCCGATTGGCTGCCTCCTGCACGCCCCACACTCCCACACCCCACACCCCCACCCCCCACACCGGGATGGGCCACCACCCGGGCATGAGCCCCGCCCAACGGGAATGGAACTTGCACCTCCCCGTCCATAGGTCAGCGCTCCACCACGGAGCCACGCCAGCCAGGCAGAGTGCACGTTTCTTTTTGAAATATTTTCAGTTGCTTTTTATAAAGGATCGTTAAAATAATGACTTTGGAGCCACTGAGGTCCCAGCACGAAGCCATCGAAATGATTCAGCATTTTGTATGGAATACCCAGTAGAATTACTCCCGAGACAGGGAAGCAAGAGGTTCTAGGTCGCTTCCACCTTCAATAGGGAACAAGAGATACAATAACGTTCTTGTAGCGCCACTTGTCTACATGCTACTTACCCTCTTCATTTCTACAACAGAGAATAGGTATATGTCTTAAATCGCCGAGTACAGTGGGAAGAAATAGGTATTTATGTCATTACAAATATGTGATCACAAAACTCATCACTGCGGTCAAGGAAAAAGCGCCGAAATCACACAGCCAAGGGCCCCTGACCTAGGGACGGTGCGGAGGGGAGTCCGAGAAGACCCCTGGGAAATGACATATCCTGGGAGCTGAGGAATGACAAAGGTTGGGGTTGAGAGGATCCTTGCAGTAGAGCTAACTGCACTTGAAAAGGCCATTAGGGTAGAGAGATGGGGAAGGTGGCCTGAGCAGGAAGAGTTGCATGGGATCCAAAAGGAAAGGTAGACAAGGATTCGGCTATGTAAATTCTACCCATCCTTTGGATCTCAGTTGAAATATTGCTACTTCACAGTGGTTGACCCTGACCACCCAATCTAATTCAGTCTTTTCTCTGATAATCATCTATTTCACCCTTTACTTTCACTTTGTAATATGTAGGGTTTTTGGTTAATTATACTTTCATTTGTTTAAAGTCAGTCTTCCCATTAGACTCTAAGTTCCATGAAAAGGACCAGGGAACCACACGTATTGGATACACTACTGGTTTCCTAGCATTTACTACAGTGTCTCCCAAGGAGTCAGTGTGAAAGAATAAGTTTAGCTTATAAGAGGATGTACTGAACTTTATTTCTTTTCTCTCCCCTCCTCCTTAGTGTCTTGCTTTCCATGACATTTCCCCTCAAGCACCAACACATTTTCTGGTGATACCTAAGAAGCATATATCCCAGATTTCTGTAGCAGAAGATGATGATGAAAATGTAAGTAAATTTACTAGCACAATATTCATTTTCTTGCTATTTATTTATGTTTAATTCTCACCAAAAGATATTTTTTCCATTGATTTTTTTAAAATATATTTTATTGATTTTTTACAGAGAGGTAGGAAGAGGGATAGAGAGTTAGAAACATCGATGAGAGAGAAACATCGATCAGCTGCCTCCTGCACACCCCCCACTGGGGATGTGCCCGCAACCAAGGTACATGCCCTTGACCAGAATCGAACCTGGGACCCTTGAGTCGACAGGCTCACGCTCTATCCATTGAGCCAAACCGGTCAGGGCATCCATTGATTTTTTTTTTTTTTTTTTTTTTAAATATATTTTATTGATTTTTTACAGAGAGGAAGGGAGAGAGATAGAGTTAGAAACATCGATGAGAGAGAAACATCGATCAGCTGCCTCCTGCACATCTCCTACGGGGGATGTGCCCGCAACCCAGGTACATGCCCTTGACCGGAATCGAACCTGGGACCCTTCAGTCCGCAGGCCGACGCTCTATCCACTGAGCTAAACCGGTTTCGGCAGATTTTTTTTTTTTTTTTTTAAGAGTGGAGGGAGAGGAGGGGGTGGAGAGAGAGAGAGGGAAACATCATGTGAGAGACACATTGATTGGTTGCCCCCTGCACATGTGCTGACCAGGGCCAGGGATAGAACCTACAACCGAGGTAGGTGCCCTTGACCCGGAGTCAAACCCAAGATCCTTCAGTCCTTGGACCGATGCTCTAATTACTGAAGCCAACCAGCCAGGGCTTATTTTCTTGCTTTTTAAATTGGGAGACTAAATTTTGACCTTAAACTGAGGTTACATTTTCATTTTACTAATTGCATTACTGAGGAAAACAAAATCATTAGGGCTTCAATATAATAATATAGTTTTATTTTTTAAAGAATGAGATATAATTGATATATTAGTTTTAGGTATATAACAATGATTTTATAGATAGATAGATAGATAGATATTATGAAACAATCACCACAATAATTGTAGTTAACATCCATCATCACAAATTATTAAGCAGAAAGGGTTCCCCATAAAGATTAGTTGATGAGATTCATTTTTCCTCAACAAAGAAATAGCATATCATATAGGAGAGGGTTCATGGACTCTTCTGTTAATACTGTTAGAGGAAAGAAAAATAATGTTTTGGTTTTGCCAGGAGGTACAAGCCTCAAAACTTCTTTTTGCCAATGTTCTTTGTGGTAAATTGTATAATTGCTTATAAATATTCATTATTCTTTAGGGGTGTATTATACTTGCTGCCTCAATGTCAGGACTGGTGCTATGACTTGGTTTGGCCAATGAATGCAAGCAGAAATGATTTATGTTTTTTGAGTGGAAACTTTAAGAGCTAGCACATGGTTTGCCATCTTCTCTCTTCCCTCTGCCACTATAATCATTATAGAGCCTGCTCCATCAGCCTGGGTTTCAAAGAGAAAAAGATATAGAAATAGAGCCTGGTCAACTTGTGATGAACATGTAGTAAACACAAGATTGTGGGGTGGTTTGTTACCACAGCTTAATCAAATCTATCCTGATACCCTGCCCCATAACAAGAAAGGGAGATGTCTTACTTTATTAAGAACATTTAAATACCACTTGCAATTTGATTTAAAAATTGTTTTAATTAAGCAGATTTTTGTTTCCAATTTTTAAATTGAACTTAGAAATGAATAAATATTTAATCTGACTGGGTTTTTAATTGTAAGTTATGTTGTATTAGGCTGAAAAGAGCTTCCAAATATTTGTCCAAAGGAGTATGTTTTTACCTAGCAATTTTTAAATTTAATATTTCTTCTTGGTTGTTTGTTATTTAATGACAAGAAGTTGTAAACTGCCCGTGCTTAAGAAACTTTTTCTTCTTTTCCAGCTTCTTGGACATTTAATGATTGTTGGCAAGAAATGTGCTGCTGATCTGGGCCTAAAGAAGGGTTATCGCATGGTAGTGAATGAAGGCACAGACGGGGGACAGTCTGTCTATCATGTTCATCTGCATGTTCTTGGAGGTCGGCAGATGAAATGGCCTCCTGGTTAAGTATGTTTTAGGGATAATTTTCCCTGCTGTTGGCAATGATCAGTTTTGCAAGTTCTAATATGCTAAACAGTACATTTTATTTTTGCCTGTGTACGGAGTGATCCAGGAAATAATTTCTAAAACCCATACATAATAAAAGACATCGTTGCATGTTCTGAATTC